TGGATTTCAGGATCTCATCAACATTTGAAGGATTTTCTTGTAGAGTTAACTGATGAGCCTCTGAGGTAATTGTTTTTTGAGGAGGAGTTACATGAATTAGAATTTTCTATAAAAAGGTAGAAGTGGAACAATATTTTATATATATATATATATATATATATATATATATATATATATATATATATATATATATATATATATATATATATATATATATATATATATATGTGTGTGTGTGTGTGTGTGTGTGTGTGTGTGTGTGTGTGTGTGTGTGTGTGTGTGTGTGTGTGTGTGTGTGTGTGTGTATGTATATGTGTGTGTATATATATATATAATAAGACATGAATGAACCTCAAGTACCTTAGACGCCCCGTGGCTGGGGCATGAATCTTCACTCTCTAAATGTTCATCATGAGTAGGTTTCCTTTGTTGATTTGCTTTCTTTCGAGTTAGTTGAGTACCATCATATTCTTCCGCTTTGTAATCGTCAAAAGAAATAACCAGTTGTCTTCTTGGTTTATCTTGTGTAATAGCCTTTTAAGCTTGGATTTTTTGTTTCTTGGATTTTCAAAATTATAATTTCTTAGCAGCATCCTGCCATTTACACCAATATTTAGGACCTTTGAATTCAGAGGAAACCTATTCACTTTCCTTAATATCATAATTATATTAGACTTTATTGTCCTTTTCTTTGACTATTTGTTCAGACTGAAACATTTACAATTATTAGTGTAATGAATAGTTGAGTTAAATAGATATAAGATGTTAATAAAGGTGAGTTCCTTCACTATCGAGAATGACATTTGATGTTTCTTTTCTTGTACTTTTTTGACACGGGTAGCAGTATAACTACTTCATCTCTTTCGACTATGAAATATAGGAACAAGGATAATTAAAAGATAAGCAATTTAGAATAAAGAGAACAAAGGTTTAGAACATGTACTTGTTTTGTCCCTTTTGATTGGTCAAACACTGGTCCAAATTCTTCACTTTCTTCAACTAGTTCGAATTTACTCGTTTTTAACCCTTTCGGAGGAATTAGAGCTCGAGTTACAAAATTTTGGCACAAGCAAATAATATGAAATAAAAAGAGGAGTTAGTGAGTTTTAAGAGTCCCTTTATCTCATCTCTAGGATGGTGGATTTGACCCATATATGTTCGACATTGACTCTTAAAAGTCGTGGATAATTGTGTATAATATACCTAGTCAAAGTTACTCTTTGGGTAGGAATTTTCGACTCATTTATTAGGCCAATTAAAGATCAAAATTGATACCATTTTGGAAGTGGCAACTTGAAAGATAAGCCAAGTTCACTAGTTGGTAATGGTGGAAATTCGGGAAGATGAAATTCCAAAGCCAAGTTATATTTATTTGTTACGTAAGAAGGAACATTAAGTCTGGAAGAAGTTCAATAATGCGATTAAGTTGCCTCATGAATAGTGTGATTAAGTCAACAAGGAGTATACACAAATTTTAGGTAATTTTTAAAAACTCTAATCTCCTTTATGTGCGTACCTCGACCTTTCGGTTTCTTAGTTTGTTTTTGCAGAGTAAAAAAGCATAAGTTAATGCAGAGTTGACTCATCCACAATAACACTATTATATATGTAGTCCACCACTCTTGGAATTATTTAATACAAAAAAAGAAGCTTCAAATTTGAAAGTGTTCAGATCAATAAATTTTTTAGCATGATAGTCTAAACACGCCTTGTAGTCTTTCTCCGACAGTATGGTATTAGCCAAGCATATTTCCTTGTCATTGGTGAAAAGCAGTCTCAACAACAACTGGCTGAAACCAAATTTCTTGGGCGCCAAATTTGGCCGATACCCAATAAGCCCAAGTCTAGCTTTCCTGACTAAAATTATAGTTGAAAGAATATTGGGTTTAAAGAAAGCTACCCATATGTCAAGTGCTTCAGATTGGTTTCCAGGTGAAGAAGTTGGAATTTTTCTTTTGAACTAATCTGGTCCATAACTTCGATTGGTAAATGGTGCCATAGAAGAAACAAATTCGACACAATTCATACATATGAAGAAATTTTTCTTGAAACCTTCTTCAGCTGGAAATTCGATATCTTCTGGACTCAGCAAATTAAGTATAGTACCTTCGAATTATCTTTCTAAATAAGGTGAAATAACAACACTTAGAGAAGGTTCAAAAGTGGCATTAAGCCAGAGTTAAAGGAGCCATATAGGGCCAAAAGTCAAGAAATTATAATAAAAATTGGTTCGTGTTCTGGTGCCAAGGGAGGAAACTCCTAAGGATTCATAAAGACAATCCAGAATCATATTTCTAAGACAAACATTTTGTTGCTTATGAAGCTGGGTTGTCAGTGGTATGATTTTTTGGCTATTTGAAGAGATCCAGAACAAAATATGTAATGAGATAACCAGAGGGTGAGGAAAGCGATATGGTCATAGTCGAAAACTTCCTTAGTTTGTTCATGGTGATCATTAATGTAGGCGTTGAAAAAAGCATGGTCGAAGGGGAAATTAGGCCTGGTCTTTTTCCTGATAGTGGATTCAAAAGTTTTCCCTATTGGTTGAAGACCGATGATGGGAAGCAACGTCAAAAAACATAGGAGTTATCATACCACTGGGAAGTTGGAAATGTGTTTATCGAAGATTCCTAAAAAATAGGACAACCATGAGCATGTTGGATTTATAACTTGGCTCAGTTCTTGACAACTGAATTAAGTTGAAGATGCCTTTATTGTGCCAGATGTTTCCCTTATTTTTTTCTACTATTTTTCTAACTGAGGTAGGTTTCACTGTTGGTAAAACGAGAAGAATGGACTACATGATTGGGTTTTTCCATGAACACCAACTCAAAACTTGTGTCCTCAAATGCATAAGGTTTACAATAGGGTAGACAAGGAAAAAATCTTTCAACTTACTAGATTTCACAAACGATATGGGTAAAGGACTTAGAAATACATGAGTCTTACCTATAACAGAGAATGAAATCAGTACCCGAGAAACCCAAATGGCTAATTTTTCCATCTTTATTTGTGGTTTTGGAACATAGGTGTGATCTCCAGAGAAGATAAGACCCTCGATATCAGCAGTAGAAGGAACTCAAAATTGTTTTTCTATGCTGGAGTTAGAAAAAAGAAGTCATGTTTTAGAGTTTAAGTTGAAGAGAAAGTGAAAATGGGTGTTGTAGAAAATAAATTTTAGGATTTTGGAAAAGGTGACATATTGAAGCGGGAGAGAATTATATATAGGCGTTGAAATAAATCCTTATTATTTTCCCTCTTAAAAACACTAACTGATGTTTGTTTTAAATCGTTAATAATTAATGATTTTTTTCTTTATTTTAATGCAATTTTTTTTGGGCCTACGATGGTCTTGAAAACCGGAGCCGTGATGGTAGTTACGTGTTCATTTTCAGTCGTGACGTCTGAGGGGAGGCATTTATGATGACAATGATGTATGCAAGTCGGTTTGAATAGTGTTGTAAGTTTTACTAAAAATATCATCTTTCTTCCATATCGCAAATATGATCGAAAATGATGTTTTTTGGGGGCATCTATTAGTCTGAGATTTTGCTTAACATTTCAACATCAAGTCACAAACTCGATGGGTTGACCTTTTCGATACATGTGATTGGATGACTTGAAGACGTTTTCGACAGTAGTGGCAATTTGAAGCAGTTCAAGTGTCAAAGACACATGAAAAAAAATTGGAAGACAAAAGCCCATGAAGCAGTATATGTGTTAGATTTTGAAGAGATAATCGTTGGTGGCAGTTGATAATGTATTTAGTATATAAGAAAATTTCGACTTTGTAATCAAGGTTCACATTTCATTATGTTCTCTTTAGAACTCATACATCTAATTCATTGAGACAACAAATTTGTGAGAAATGTATGAACTCGTATTCGATTTTTAATTCAAGCATTTTAATTATTTTTTTATTATTTACTTCTTTACTTGTTTTTGTTATATTAAACACTTTTGCTTTATCTCTTTTATTATATGCCTTGCTTTTATTAAATTAAGCACTTTTACTTTATCTCTTTTTATTATCTGCATTAGAAATTCCATTAGCACTATTGCATTCTCTCAAAACATTTTACACAAAGTATTGTTTAGGATTTCCGAGTTTAATTCTACAAGTGAACTAAAACTCGTGATTGTTTACTAAAAACGTCAATAAACACGGTTAATGACGTTTTCTCATACATTGTAAAATGAATAACAATGGTGTTGCTAAAAACTCAATTCTGCAAATACTTAGACTAAGGAATCTCAAAATCGTAGAACTCTCACAATGTTGAAGAAATCATGACCTTAATTATCCATTCTCATGCGCTAAAAATCCATCTTTACTTCGATGTATTTATTTCCATCTGCATAATTGCTTTCTGCATATATCACAACCAAATTTCTAACTAACACTATCAAAATTTTCTTACAAATTCACTTTAGTGCAGAGCGGATAAAGGGTTTAAGCATGCATCCTCTAATGTGTTCGCCAACTCCACCTCATTCTTTTATGGGCACAGACATTTACACAATTTTTTGCATTTTTAAACCTAAATGTTCTGTCCCGTCGCACCCTCATGTTTTTCAAGATGGATCTTAGTTTAGGTCAACACTATCAAATATCCTATCCGATTTTTTTAGACTTTTGCAGAACAAATCTAAACACCACAAACATGCACATTTGCCACCTCTAATCGTGACAACTTAAATAAATTTTTAAAAACATTAATTAACGAATTTATTATAACTTTCAGCTCTCGAAGTGAGTAATGACAAATTTCAAATTTAGAAAGACGAGAAAAGAAAAACAATTGAATAAGTGGTTACAAATTAGCAACTATTAACTAACCAACCATTAAGCAACGGCCACAACACTACTCCATTAACCCTTGGTTACAACAAACTCTTCCTTTTTAAACACAACCAACAAACACACTCATTCCATTTCCATTCCAAACCTCTTTCTTTCTCTCTTTCTCCATTCACTCACATTCATCTTTCTTTCCATCATGGAACCCGTTAGCGAATGGGGAAACACACCCCTTGTAACCGTCGACCCCGAGATCCACGACCTCATCGAAAAAGAAAAACGTCGCCAATGCCGCGGAATCGAGCTCATTGCATCGGAGAATTTCACTTCCTTCGCTGTCATAGAAGCCTTAGGCAGTGCACTCACCAACAAATACTCCGAAGGCATGCCTGGAAACCGTTACTACGGCGGAAACGAATTCATCGACGAAATTGAAAACCTCTGTCGTTCGCGTGCGCTGCAAGCTTTCCATCTCGATCCACATGCTTGGGGAGTTAACGTTCAGCCTTACTCCGGTTCTCCAGCGAATTTCGCTGCGTATACAGCGGTTCTTAATCCTCATGATCGGATCATGGGATTGGATCTTCCTTCTGGTGGTCATCTTACGCATGGCTACTATACTTCCGGCGGGAAGAAGATCTCGGCGACTTCGATTTATTTCGAGAGTTTGCCGTATAAGGTGAATTCGAGTACTGGTTTTATTGATTATGATCGGTTGGAAGAGAAGGCTTTGGATTTTAGGCCTAGGTTGATTATTTGTGGTGGTAGTGCGTACCCTAGGGATTGGGAGTATAATCGATTCAGAGATGTTGCTGATAAGTGTGGCGCTCTTTTGCTTTGTGATATGGCTCATTTTAGTGGCCTTGTTGCTGCTCAGGTACAAAATTTCATTTCATGTTACAATCTTAGTTGCTATATAATTTAATTGTAGATAATTTGATATTTACATGTCTGCAAATTCTAATTCAATTGTGTCTGTGTGTGTGAATTTATAGTAGTTATTACCAGATCGTCTTTGTATAAAAAAAACTTGATATTTACATTATGCAGCAACAAATAGTATGTTATTTGAATGAAATTATGTAAATCTATCTTATTGTTTTAATGATGAATGAAATTTGAATTCAAGAGTATCGATAATCAATAATATATGGATTTATCAAGGTGAAATTTTGTTGATAAATATTTTTGAGTAGTTTAGTGATGGAAGGATTTATCAAAAGACATGTCTGTTTATGTTTCAGCATTTCTTGCGGATACTAATATGCTCTGTTGACACCTTTGAAGAAAGGTGTGTGCTGACAATACCGACACGACACGACACGGACACTTGTGATAATTGTTTTAAATTGTGGTTGCGGATGTGGCTGCAGTTGAGGGTGTTGTGATTGCAATCACTGCGGTTGCGGATGTTGTTGCGGTTGAGGGTGTTGCGATTGCGATCATTGCAGTTGCTGATAAGTGTGGCAATTGCAATCATCGCAGTAGCTGTGATGCGCTTTGCAGAAGTTGCAGCATGAATTTTCGATTGAGAAGAGTTTGAAATACACCGTTAAAACACTTAATGTTAAGATTTATCTGTAGTAAATTGAATTGAGTTCTAAATTTTGAGTTTTTGACGAAATTACTTGAAGAAATCAACGCGAGGTTGTCTGATGCGGTTTCTAATATGGAAGGACATGTGATTTCAAGATGAAGTTGCGGAAACTATGGCATCAGCAATATTGTGGCTGCAACTGTGGTTGCAGACCGCAGTTTAAAACCGTTCTTGTGATTACGTTTAATTTATTCTTTTTTCTCAAATTATTATCGGTGTCGACGTGACAGTGTTAGTGTCGTGTGCGTATGTGATTCATATATAATGTGGTTTATTTTGTTGGGTGTGAATGAACGATAACATAATTTTGTTGTTGTGTTTACAGGAAGTTAATAATCCATTTGAGTACTGTGACATAGTGACGACAACAACTCATAAGAGCTTGAGGGGTCCTAGGGCGGGTATGATCTTCTACAGGAAAGGACCTAAACCACCCAAGAAGGGCCAAGCTGACAATGCAGTTTATGATTTTGAGGACAAGGTCAACTTTGCTGTCTTCCCCTCTCTTCAAGGTGGTCCTCACAATCACCAGATTGGTGCCCTTGCTGTTGCCTTAAAACAGGCCATGTCACCTGGGTTCAAAGCATATGCAAAGCAAGTTAAGGCCAATGCTGTTGCCATTGGAAATTACTTGATGAGCAAGGGATACAGTCTTGTCACTGGTGGAACTGAGAACCATCTTGTATTGTGGGATCTTCGCCCTCTTGGATTGACCGGTAAAGGATACCTCACACCTAAAAAATATCGCATCTGGTTTAAATTGCGTATTGAAACTTAATATCGCCTTTTGAGTTTCTTTGCAGGAAACAAGGTGGAGAAACTTTGTGACCTCTGTAACATCACAGTGAACAAAAATGCTGTTTTTGGCGATAGCAGTGCTTTGGCTCCTGGAGGAGTACGAGTTGGTAAGAAACTTCATAAGAACTAGTCAAAATACCATAATTTCTCTGATGTTAGTAAAACATGTTTACATGGGGTGGCTGAGTGGAGTTCTGTTAACAGGTGCTCCAGCCATGACATCTAGAGGCTTGGTTGAAAAGGACTTTGAGCAGATTGGAGAGTTCCTTCACCGTGCTGTGACTCTGACACTAGAGATCCAGAAGGAGCATGGCAAACTTCTGAAGGATTTCAACAAGGGCTTGGTTGACAACAAAGATATTGAACAACTCAAAGCTGATGTTGAGAAGTTCTCTTCCTCATTTGGTATGCCTGGTTTCCTGGTATCTGAGATGAAGTACAAGGATTAAACTTCGATCTCAAATATTTCGCTCAAAGTTTCAGACATGGTGGAAGACAAATGGAGAAAAATAAATAAGCTTTTCCTATTTTGTTTTCATGTTTTTGTTAGCCTGATCATATTTTTTCTTAGTACTAGTATCACATCAAAACAAAATTTGTTAATTTCCTTTTGCTAAAAGGCTTGTATGTTTCATCATTTTGTATAACAAGAAAATGGACGCAAACAGCCTGCTCCTACATATTAAATTTAGATTAAAGAATAAAGTAGATTATTGTCCTTGAGGTCTTTAGTACTTGTTTTAACTTGTTCATACCCCAGACACTGGTGCCCAGGTACTGCATATACAAATCTAACATCTCTGGTATGTTATACATTGTTTGGATTGATGGATTTTGAAAAGAAATAAATAATATGAAGAGAAGTTATTAGCTTAAGCTTGTTACATTAGGATACTTAATTATATATTTCTTTTATAGTTTGTTATGTAATTAGTTGTATAGTTAGTTATGTTGGTCTATTCAACTAACTCTAACAGCAAATGTATGTATATATAGCTGTCTTTTGCTATTCTTCATTCAATGAAATAATTAATCTTCTCATAATGGGTCAACATCTTTCTTCTGTTTTTTCTTTTTTCATCATTAACTTCTTTTGAGATCTTCATCATCAACATGGTGTTATAGCTTATCAAACTCTGGTAGCCATTGTTATCCATTTCTCCTATTCATCTTCCTGCAATTTCTTGAAGTTTTCATTATGATTCTTCACTTTTTTCTCTTGCAGTTTTCTTTTTGGTCGTATTCTTGATTCATCTTTTCTTCTTTCTTTAATGGTGTATCAGAGTTTCATTGATTTTTCAATCAATTATGCAAATCCAAATTACTTGCATCCAAATGAGAATCCAACACTCTGTTCTTGTTTCTCCACCACTTGATGACAAAAATCAACACATCTGATCTGACCCGATCGATGCAAATCGTGCTAATATCCAAGAACAAAGACAAATCTATCGATGGAACCCTAACCAAACCTTCCATCTCTGATCCTCTTTATGCGCCTTAGATTCGCTACAATACAATGGCCCTTGCATGGATTTAACGCTCAATTTCTGAATCTATTGCAAAATCAATGCTCTTGATTGATAGTGCAGCTGGTGTTTGGAAGAATTTGCAGACTTGTTTCTCTCACAATGATATCTTCTGCATTTTAGATATTCAAGAAGATCTCTACAAATTTCTCCAAGGTACTCATGATGCTTCAAATTACTTTACTCAGTTAAAGGTTATGTCGAACGAATTAGAGATTATCGCCCAATTTCTACTTGCTCATGTACAATCCCTTGTTCTTGTGGTACAATTGCATTTATTTAACGGTATAGAGAACAGGATCATGTAACACACTTTCTAAATGGATTAAATGAAAATTTTACACACTCTAAATCACAAATTACGAGGATGAATCCTTTTACCCGATAATGACAATATTTTCTTTTGTTATTCATCAAGAAATAGAGATGAATAGCTTTATCTCTACTTTGATTCCAAGTATTGGAAACAGTGAAGAAGTCATACTTTTGCAAGTTCAAACTTCTCAAGGCACTCCCAGTGATAAACATGAATACAACAATTTCAAAGGAAAATTTCAAGAATTTAATGGTCTTAAAGATCATAATAGAGTATGCATTCAATGTGGCAGGACAAATCATACCATTGAAACTTGTTTTCTTAAACATGGTTTTCCACTAGGTTTCAAAAACAAAGGTAAGGTCCAAGGAGCTTGTACCATTTCATATATTTTTGTTACAATTAACTATGCATCATAAGCTTCTTTACTAGGGTCCACTACATCTTCCTTTGGTTTTACTCAAGAGAAATGCAATAACGTCTTAGAACTGCTTTAAAATTCCAAGCTTACTCCCAAGGCTAACCCAATCTCCACTTCACCATTTGTCCTGAATTCACATTCCTCAAATGTCAATGGTGTAATGCCCCATACTACTTTCAGGATTACCGACTGACCCCACAAACCAACACGGGTCTTTTCAGCATGCTTTGTCCTCAGCCATACGCTTTCTGAGAAACTTCATAGAAGGTCACCCATCTAAATACTACTCCAAGTCAAACGCGCTTAACTATGAATTTCTTATTTGTTAGACTACCAAAAAAAAAGATGCATCTTGTTGGTATAGGAATTATCAATCAATCCTTATAAGACTTCCTTTAACCATTCAGTCCCTCACTTGTACAGTCTCAGGATCCCAATGATTTTAATGTGAATTCGGCATCAGCTACCACCCTCTGCCCTCTTCGGCCTCGTGTGTTACATGTCCATCTTTCCTCTTCGACCATGGGTGTTACATGCCCACCAGCTTCCACTTAGTTCGTCCCTGAGCCACTTCGTACTAGGAGAGGTATTCTCTGATACCATTTGTAACACCTCAGACTGCTTTCAAAATTATCGATTGACCCGACAAACCAACACGGGTTTTTTAGTATGCTTTGTCCTCACTCACATGCTTTCTGGGAAACTTCCAAGAAGGTCACCCATCCAAATACTACTCTAAGTTAAGCACACTTAACTATGAAGTTCTTATTTGTTAGGCTATCGGAAAAAAAGATGCATCTTCTTAGTCTAGGTAGTACCAATCAATCTTTATAAGCATTCCTTCAACTATGCAGTCTCACACCTGCACAGTCTCAGAATCCCTGTCATTCCAATGTGAAATCGGCATCAATTATCCCTCTTTGTGCTCTTCGGTCTCTGGTGTTATGTGCCCATCTTCCCTCTTCGGTCTCAGATGTTATAAATGGTAAGTACTCTAACCATTAGATCTTAGACACTGATGTTACTTATAACACCTTAACCCCAATAACATAATTTATCATAGAATTTAATTAAACCAGATGAAAACCACTTAGGTTGTCACTCACAATAAAACATATCCTGCTCTGTAACACGGGTTATAACAAAATATTTATAACATGTCATCGCATGCTCGCCTTCACTTAGGGTATCATCACAGTGGAAATCATTATAAGGATACACTGTACAGCGTTTTCAAGAGTACAAAAAAATAGGAAAACATGATGATGTATCATCCTACCAGAGTTAGAGCGAAAAGTGAGATTGACCTAGATATGACGACACAGATAACTCACAAATACCTAGAAAAGAGATTGTAGAGTTTTCATATTTACCGTAACCTAGGAGGTAAATAACACAAGTTTGAAACTTGACTTACTAACGCTTCGAGACTAACATAGTAAGCTTATAACATAGATTTTGTCTATTCATCACAACCTAGGGGATGAATAAAACATAGTTGATAATCTATTACCACATGGAGACTTGACACAATGAATTATATCTCAGAGAGACAGATAACTTATTGCTGCTTTGAGACTAATGCAATGAGTTATATCACAAATTTCGTATATTTACTACAACCTAGGGAGTAATTAATACAAATACAGAGTTATGTATTTATCACGACCTAGAGGATAAATAACACAGACTTGATAATTCATCGCAGCTTAGAGACTGACACAATGAACTATATCGCATATTTTTGCATACCTACCACAACCTAGGGGATAGATAACACGAGTATAGGTTTGTGTATTTATCATGACCTAGAGGATAAATAACACAAACCTGATAATTTATTATCGCTTACAGACTGACACAATGGACTATAGATTTTCACATACCTACCACAACCTAGGGGTAGATAACACGAGTATAGACTTGTGTATTTATCACGACCTAAAGGATAAAAAAACAAACCTGATAATTCATTATTGCTTAGAGACTGACGCAATGAACTATAGATTTTCACATACCTACCATAACCTAGAGGATAAATAATATGAGGATAGACTTGTGTATTTATCACGACCTAGAGGATAAATAACACAAACCTGATAATTCATTATCACTTAGAGACTGACACAATAAACTATAGATTTTTGTATACCTACCACAACTTAGAGGATAGATAATACGAGGATAGGCTTGTGTATTTATCACGACCTAGAGGATAAATAACACAAACCTGGCAATTCATTAACGATTAGAGACTAACACAATGAACTATAGATTTTTGCATACCTACCACAACCTAGAGGATAGATATTTGAGAACTGCTTTGATAATCGAATCTTAGATAACTAAACCAAAGATAAGGCTGGAGTTTATTGGTTGTGTTTGTTCTCAACCAAGGTATTTTTTTGTTTTGCATAGATAATCAACAATAGGCCCCAAGAAATTTCGTAATGTTCTTATCCAAAGTAGATTTGAAAATGCCATGCATGATGCATAATGCCCTATATCGATATGAAACCTAAATGTCTATGTATATGAATAAAATGTTTTGTATGTTCATGCACCAAATGTATTGTAAATATTTTTTATATCTTTTCTCCTTTTAAACCATTGGCTCTTTCTTTTGTTACCGACTCCCAAACATTACATGTTGTTTTGTCGTGGTATTTCAAAGTTGATTTGACATAACAAGGTGAATAGCGTCAACAAGATTTGAAGATTATATCATAGGCGTAAGCGTAGTCGTCGACATCTTTCGACATTTTTTCTAACCAAAATATTCTCTAATGTTTTATCAAATGCTCTTTTTGATGTTCCCGTATGTCAGATGCACCAAATGTTATGCATGACCTTGATACTTTGATATGGTTATGTGCATGTTATGCCTGATGTGAGGCTTTCAATGAGAAATCTACTGTCGAGATTTCCAAGGAATCTACTGCCGAGATTTAATTAAGGACTACCTACTGCCTAGATCTTTTGGAAAATCATCTTTCGAGATTAACCAGGGGAATCCGCTGCCGAGATTCTGTTAAGAAACTACCTTCTATCGAGGTCTTATGGAAAATTGAAATTCTGGTATCAGATATGTGATGTCGAAGGAGATGTCATGACACAAACATCTGAGGAACAAGGTAAAGTGCAACAATAATAAAAGCAATAAAAATACAAGGGATTGTTAAC